AGCCTGATGAGGCACCAAGATGTGAAGAGGTCTACACCGTAGATGACAGTCGCCTGTCACATGGATGACGATGAAGATGATGATGATGCTAACGATGACGACGAAGATGATGATGACGATGATAATGACGACAACGACGACGATGATGATGCCGACGATTAGGCATAAATAGATTGTGCTCGGCAACTTGTGAGCAACTTTTAGCGTTTTCAGCAACTTTTTGTACTGCGAGAAACCTAGAGCAACGTTTGCCTTCCTTGGCAACTTTTGAATCAACAAATACTTAAAAACTGACCAAACCATCAAAAAGATCTTTATTAAAAGGTTTTTACTAAAACTGGTCAAAACTAAGAATGCCGTACGTTCTTACAAATAATTTATAAAATAACAGGTGCTCCCACGAACTGGACAGCGGCTATCTATCTAACGGGCGCTTACATCCAGCGGTTATTCGCTCCAACAATAGAGCTTCCCCCCCCCCGCAATCTTGGTATTTGCTGCAGTGCGAGGCATCACAATTAGAAGCTGAAATGTCTGACGAGGAAAATTAAAATAATACAGATATTGAGGCTACCATAGCCGCTGGAGCAACTCTCAGTAGTCCTATAAGAGCTTCACTCTAGAAGTTTAACGATCAACAAGACAATGCCCTAGAGGACCCTAGAGGACTACCTTGACGCTTCAACAATGCAAAGAGGCTGTAAACTTTAAAGTTTACATCCTCTTTGCATTGTTGTATCTTATCAAGATAAGATAAAATAAAGGCTGTAAAGTTGATCACTTTCTAAAGTGTATAGTCAGCACTATTATGTCTATAGCAAACATTGTGATATTTACTCATAATAGAAACGTCATTAGAAAATACTTTCTATTATTAGTTACGCTGAGCTGAAAGATTATATTGATCACAACAAATGATGTTAAATTACACATACAACGTCATGTTTTGAGTAGTAACCTAGAACAAAATGACTCTCAAAAGTATGCAACTTTTCTAAATTTGAGTGGCAACTTTTAAATTTTTTAGCAACTGTAGCTTACTGTCTCTTGGAGGTGTCGGTCAAGTGAGAGTAATGTTAATGTTAGTAATGATCCGGGTAAAGGTGGAAAGCAATTACTTTTGTTATGCGGCAATGTGCTTTCCCCACATAGGCATGTTCCCATTTTTACACAGGGAATGCAACAACCTACAGAGAGGCCGTTTACGCAATAAAATGTACTTTAACTTCATTTTAAAAGGGTGTTTGTTTGTGTTAATAGATTTTGACCAATCATAAGAGCTGCAAACGATAGCCAAGGAAAGCAGTTTTACGTGTTCACCACATAGTATTTCTGTGTTATTCAGACTGAGAGGAGATTTTGTTATATGGAAGTTGGTTGGAAAAGTAAAGATGAATATGTATACTGCTTAATGAAGTTTTCTGATCTTAACTTTTGCTGTTTAAGCCAATCAGAAGTACAGTGCAGATATAATAGTAAACTGTTAGCACCTTCTTGCATTCCTGACATGTTCATAGCTGTTGTTGCTTTCCGTCTTATCTTGACCGTTTCTCAATTATCGATGATTGCAAAACAAAAAAAAACAAAAACAATACAAAGGAAAGTAAGCATTGATTGTACCTTTCTCAATGACAAAATAAAGGCCAAACATTCTTAATTACACAACCAAAATACTCTCAGACTCTCAGCAGCAGGAAAATAAACCTAGGAGATTCTTATTAGAGAATTAAACAATAAGGGTATCTTCTGCTTTAGTCCTAACAGCTTCCAGAAAAAAGAGTGCAATTGGGTGTGGTCCATATATTATCATATCGGAGGATGGGTGTTGATGTGTGCTACCCTACTACCCATCATGCAGCTCGAGGAATCAAGCGAAGAGCAACTTTAAACTTATATTACGATAGACGTTATCATATTCAAGTAGGATGCATGATTAAACAGAGTGTTTTCCACAACGCGTTAGCACTTTATTTTATAAAACAGAAAAGAGTCGTTTGGTACCCTTGATAATGTAAAGGAGGAAAGCTATTATACAATTTTTACAAATGACAAAACTTTTTTCGCGAGCATTTGTAGTTTCAGTGTAATATTAAAATTATCCGTAATTCGGCTACAACTTGGAACTTCTGAATTCTTAATTAATGCCACAAACGCTGATTTAATTTATAGCTTAACATGTAACATAAACAGCAATAACCTCTTAATTTAATGCATGAAGATTTTCAAAGGTTCTGAGGAAACGTTTTTCCTTGTCTGAATTTTTCAGTGCAAAAAAAAAAATTAAAGAGTTATGGCGACTGAGTCAGGAAAGGTAGGATTTCATACCTTTTAATCCTTTACATTGGTTCAATGAACATAAAAAATTTACTGAATATCTATTGCGAGCGAAAAGAGCCTTCGACATCATCGCTCGAGCAATCTGAAACAGCGAAAGATACTCAGTTCTTGCTATTCTAGAGTCAGCCTCGTCGACTTTACTCCGATGAGGATTTTATTCTTTTCTTTTTTTGACCTTCAGCTAAGCTGAGAGATATGTTTATTCACCTTAAGTTCTTTTTTTCTCGCATTTATATACGGTAGGGGGCCTTAAAACCCCAAAGGCAGCACCGTAGCACTGGTCGGGGTTAGACTATCCCTACTTTTTCTAAAATTGTTTTTTGGGGATTACGTGTCCGGCTGTGGTGTATCAAGTCGTATACTTTTAGATACATTTAGTGATGTATTACTTATCAATAAAGTACACTGTCTAGTACTGACTTAAAAAAGCGAGTGTTTGTTATTTTTCTCTGGTTATTCAAATCACGGGAAAAGTCGGGTCACATGACCAAAGGAAGATGTGTTTCGAACGTGTGCAAAATCTTTATTTTTGAAATTCACTTTGTGCCTAGTTAAGGTGAAAATCCATCGTGAAAAATCATGAAACATTAACAGTCAGTGAATACAGACATTCAAACACCGTCGTCGATTTTTATCAATTTTCTGTTAATTATGTCGTTATACCGTCTTAATAGTATTTAAGATCTGTGACTAATCTATATAAGAAGTATGAAGGGTCGAAGACCTGAATTTAAATTCTTAATATTGTTTTTTTTCTTTTCTCTTTTTTGTTCTTCCAAAACCACGAAAGTAGAAATAAAACGTTAATGCTTAATGAACTTGTCTGAGTTTGATTCGTGCTTCTAGCTTGTCAATTGTAAGCACTGATACCTTTCTCGAGCTCCATCGAGGTAACTGACGCTCAAGAAGATTGGGTTTCGACAAACCAAAATTCATTTTAATGAAATTAAAGATGGACCTAAATACCTGTAAGAGATCCAGAGAGATTAGGTGTTCGACCCCACAAGACTGGCAATGTTTGCGTCGCCAAAAGTGTTGCACGATTCTTATTTTTTAATTCTTTCTTTCAGTTCGATTTTCTCGCAACGACCTCGGCAAGGCTGACACAAAAATACGCGTTATAAGAGAAACTGCGCTGCATTCAAGTAGTGTTGAACTCGGTACCGTTTCGTACAGCTACTCTGAGAACAGCGCAAAAAAATGGAGAGGCAGTTTGCAAGAAAAATTATTTTAGCCTAAATTCCTCATTTTGTCGAAATTTTTTTACCATCTAAAAAAGGTCGATTACTCTCTGCTCTCTTCAAAACTTTTAGCCTTAAACATAAAAAAACGACCGTTTTTTTGCATCTAGGCCAATTTCGTCTCCCGATTTGGGCCCAGATGTGTCCTTCCATCTCACTTGCCTACTATGACTTATATCGAGGCTACATGTTTTGCTTATAACCTGAACACCTATAAAGATTTCAGTTGGTTTTATCAAGTGAGTCGATAGAGTAGATTAGCCACTTATTTCCCAACGGAGGACAATCTACCCTATCCCTAGGGGGACTATTTTTCTCGACTCCCTTCCTCGACCGCTAGTAAGCCGCAACGCCCGCCCCCCCGGTACACATGAAACCAAGATGGCCGCCCGTACCTGTAAGGGCTCGATCCTGACGATCTTACCAAAAAAATAGGGGACTGTGAACAGTCTAGCTCTTTTGCGCACAAATGGCCAAAATTTTAACTGGCAACTGACATTTGGACCCCGCCCTCCTCCCCCCCCTCCCCCCCATCCAGACCGTCTCTGCAGAAGGGGAGAGGGCAAGAGGCGTATTGTGACACTGATAGCTGAAGGACTGGGGAGAGGGCGTTTTGTTTCATTTTGCGCCCAAAACTTTCTGCATTTCGCTGTACAAAGTTGTTATATTTTGGGTCAAAAGTTGTTACAATTCGCGTTAATGTTGAATTTTGTTGCGTAACATCTGTCGCTTACTCCAGTATTTATACAGCTTTTGTTGATTATTCTAAAAGTTCTCCACTTTTGAATGCAGCTCATATTTTACAGTTGACGTCCGAATCCCCGTGCCTATGCTCAGGTTGGGGGGTGGGGGATTTACATGGCTGGTGCATTTATTTAAGGTCCTTAACACATGTTACTCTGCATGTGATAGGATCTGATCCATTAATCAACAAGCTAATCCGATTACAATAGGTCATGTTTCGTATTCGTGACAGAATGTGGTTGTAACCACGACCACAAAAGAGAATAAAACAAATGAAAACGTGCTTGAAAGTTAACTTCGGGAAGCAATTCTCACAACGAGTCTCAACAAAGTTTCAACCGTGTTTCCTATTTACTTTTCCCCTGTTCTCGTCCTCTAAGGGAAATGGAGAAAGCCTAGGCCTATGCCAATGCCTATGCCTAAATCTTTAAGGCCACGTTATTCCGCGCGGCTTACATGGTCCGCTGTTCGTCTTGTCTTCGTCAACAAAATGCATTGACAGAGAAAGCCTGGGGAGACGCCGTACAGGAAGCCCACAATTAACAGCTGACAACAGTCGACAACAGAGGAGTTAGGGTCCCTGTGGTGAGAGCCCGGGGGCCTCCCCCAGATCTGCCACTGTATGTTATTTAGCTGTTTGGCAAATCATGAGCCTTTTTTTCTCTATTTTTTCTCTTTATTCACTTTCTTTTTCAACGAGGCACAAGGAATACAAGCACTTTAGAAAGTAAGCCTACAACTACACCTCCACCTTTAAAATTCTACAGCCTCGAAATTTCACTTGGAAGGTGCACTTCATTGTTGCCTCATCGCAAGTAGACTGCCAAGACATCTGCCTCTTCAACATTGCCTGAAATTAGGAAAAACGTACTCTGGATCTTAACACTGACACAGGAATAACCACAGAGCGAGAAAAGAAAGAAGGAGCTACAACGTACATTTCTTAATAAAAAAGAGTACAATCACGTATTATTTTTTGTTGGGGGAAAACTAAGTTAAAAGGTATTTATAAAAGCTGAAATGGAGGAGGGGAGGAAAATGGCCAAAACGACTTCATATTTTCACCCTGATGAACCTAATGCAGACTTGCTGCTCGGCTTGTCAATTTTTCCACTGGTGCAGAATCAATAGGCTTCACAACAAAATACAAAGCATTCGCTCGACTGCATGGTACTTGATCAACTATAAACGTCTCGATAACCTACTATTCCAAATGTATAGACAGAGGAACATAATTAATAGTGGAACATTTGGCTTAATTTACAGGCAATCAAACTTTCGGTAATCGAACTTATAATCAAACTCCGCTCGTTCAATTCACTTCGATAGAGTTCGGTAATCGAACATAATCGAACCATTGCCTCCCTTCCTAGGCACTGTGGCTATTTCTAATGAGCTTGCTTGGCATTGGGGATGGAAGGCCAGGTAAGTATGCCCATTATTGGGTTACCAGGACCCTGGATTTTTTTTATGATTAACTCACCGTATTGGTTCCAGTTGGTAAGACCAGACAGCTTGCTGTAAAGTATCACATTCTCACGAGGCCGGAAACGCTTCTTCCAATCGCAGTCTGGGGGCACAGTTATCACCATCCAGCCAGCATCTTTAGGACATCTACCATAGACACTGTTAATGAGAAAGTGACGGCCGTTGACTGGATTTCCATGGATTGAAAAGAAGTTGTTTGGCTGAGTCTTCATGTCAGTCCAGGAGCTCTGACTCAGTCTGGAGAGTGAAAACCAGTTGAGTTTGTCTGATCCCTTGGCATCGAATTTCAACTCCTTCATCACCTTTCCTCCTTCATACAGGACAACTCTCGCCTTTAGGAAATCAAGCAAAAATAGCATTTAACTGAATTCTTAGGCCACGTCCACACGAATCCGGATATTTTTTAAACCGCGTATATTTTTACTCGAGTCGGCCTTTCTTTCACACCAGCATGGGCTCCTGTCCACACGAAACCACTGAATATGCTCACCGAGACCGCATATTTTTGAAACCGCTCTCCAGAGTGGTTTGAGGCCCCGTCCACACCAATCTGCTTATAAGCAACTATGTGGTTTCAAAAATGTCCGGATTCGTATGGACGAGGCCTTCATTCTACTAACTTTGAAAGTGAAGCAGACTCTTAAATTAATTACTTTGCTCTTGTCAGACACGCAAGTAGGAACAAAAACAAACAAACCACAAGCAAACGAAATTATATTATTTATAAGGTGTTGACTATTATATATATTTTCTTTGCAGTAAGTATTTTCATTTAATACGAGATCATTATATGCAATTTCCGGCCTGACAAAAGTAGAAGACATGGCATCAATACCCTGCAAAGGGCAAGGGGGGATAAAGGCGCGCGAAATCGCGAAGGACACACGAGGTAGAAGGTACTCGCGCGAATTGCCGCCTTTTTCTTCCCATCAAACGTTTGCCTAGCCTGATTTTCAGACGCTCCAGGTCGCTCGCTTTCACGTACGCTTCCACGCATTCTCTTGTGACCCACGAGCAACCTGCAGGAGCCTGTGAGACCCGGTCTGTCATGCAGGTAGAGCAGATAGAGCATTTAGCTGGCAGATTTATGAACGCAATGTGACAGCGGAAATAAAATGAAATATATAATACCTCCGTTGGTCCAATGTCTTGCCACTTTAAAACGATCCTGTTTTTGTAGTGGTTAAAGTGCCTGTTAGAGACTTCAAGAGCTGCAAAGACTTTTTCAGAGGATGTCTGATCAGATGTGTATGTACTATACACGTTTTTATTCACTCCAGACACAGCCTTAAACGCCATAGTCCAGCCTATAAATAGCAGGAGAAACAAAAGTCTGTATAAGAACAAAGGAACAGACCAATTTTGATCATGATGTATTAAAATTCATACTTGGCTCCGAGGCTTGGGAGAATAATACAAACGAAATGTACTATTCATTGCTGAGCCTTAAGCCCTTGCAGCCAAGTATATATGAATTTTTAACAGTCAATAGGTTTCATTCGGATATAGAGTATTCACTTTAGACTCTTCCGGATTTAAAATATTCTGGCACACCACCAGGTCGAGACTTTTACTTCGAATTTACCATCTTTACGCAGCTATATATGTATGTTGGCAAAACACCCATTTCCGAGTCGCCCGAAGCAGAGTGATATCTATTTTGGATACTTCAGTTTTCACGTCCCAGTCTATAGATATTTGCAAATTCTAATTATATTTTCATTAAGACTAACATTGTGATTTATGTGTTAGGGACGGCGTTCTTTTAGGTATTTCACGGGCGCGAAAATGCAATTTTCTCGCTGAATGAATAAATTAAGATGAAACTGAATTACTCACCTCCAGCGGCCATATCACAGTATACTGGGAAAGGCTTCTCATCATCTGTAAGTGTAAGAGATGTTTTATGCAATGGTTAGTTCTGGTGCGGTGGATGAGCAGTTTTAAACACCTCGAACTTCAAGTATTTACCGCTGTAGCAGTCTGGGTTCACGCCCGTGTCTTTTAAGACAAGAAATGTTTTCCAGTATGTCTCAAATTTAACCCTGGGCTGGGCCCGCCCTGGGGTTGTTCTAAAGGTGAATAACGCTATCCGTTGGATTAATCTCTATCTAGTGGTAACACAATTAGTTTCCTTCATACCTATCCTCTGGATAGGGATTTAGCCGGTTGACATGATTGATGGCGCTATCCAACGTTTCAACAACGGGGCCTGGGAAATACTACCCGGGGTAGGCCGGCAATAGACTGGCAACTCTTTCATGTAGGGTGCAAAGCAATGTTATAGAAACCTTCCTCACATAAATCTCCATTCAGTTCCTAAAATTAATATATAGATTCAGCCAGGGCAAAAAGCGAAGCTCTCGATAATATTTATAGTTTGTTCAAACAAAATATAAAATCGTGTAATGCTAAGCGGCGCAGGCAACGCCGGAGAACGGTGAAAAACAACAATAGGTATAATTGGCAAAAAAGCAACTTTGCTTGTGCAGCACACTCTTTTTCTACATTTCTTTGCCGTTGTTTTGCACGACTACAACGTGAATACGTGTTCTCGTTCACTTTTTTTTCACTGCCGCTCATTATCACCTTGCATTGGTGGCCGCTAAAATTTCTCATTTTGTCACCGCCGCTACAAAATTTTCATGTCATTCTTCCAGCAGAAAAATGACTCCTTTGTTTTTTATCTCTCGCTCTAAATCTCTGTCGCCCTTTTTCTCGTTGAGCTTTCTGTCTTTCCCCTGCTCTATATTCCAAATTTGTGGACATGACAATTAATCTAAGCTAAATACTTTTGACAAAACGGATACAGAAACAATTTCCGCTTTCCGTTTTCGTCTTTATTCAGGTTCTTTAATCGTCTCTGCTTTACAAGACGGCGGTGGCTATGCGATTTCCCTCCAAAATAACCTCGAATTGCATTTGGGTTGCCATACCAGTTGATTGAGTTATTGTACATTGGTATATCTGTGGTGCCGACGGACCGTTGCTCGGGCAATTTTCTCGGATCATTTTCTTACCCATGGTGCATCGCTGGCGGGCTTCGCGCGCGAGAGCTCCGCTATTATTTGAGAGAATTTGATAAGGATTAAAGTATTTTGCATTTGAGTATAAGTTAACAATTATTTTACTGGGGAAATATTTAGAGGGAGTTGTCAACCGTCAATTTTTATCAATTCTTTGAATGAGGAAAATCATGAAACTTTAATCATAATATCAGTTAGGTTGACTGTTACTTTAATAGCATACGCGTACAGAAAATGGCCAGAGTGAATAGTAAATATTTACTTATTAATTGCATCATACCCATTAGCCTGATCCAATAAATGCCATTTTGTTTTTTCATGATTGGTGTTGATATCTTTACATGATAAACCTGGATTAGCTTTTGATCCATAAGGAGCTTTGGAACAGTCATCTGCAGAGGCGCAGTAGTAGGTATGGCCACAAGGACAGTTGCAGGCATTGGAATATGAAGGGTCTACCATGCATAACACGATTCCACTAACAATGAGGACTAGCATGGTTAGATGATGCATGTTAAATGAAGTCTGTAAAAAGAACTAAAAAGAACAGACATTACCGTATTTATCCGAATAAGCGCCCAACCTCGAATTAGCGCCCAGCCTCGAATAAGCGCCCACCCCACCCAACTCCCTCCCACAAAACCTCCAATGAGAGATAATAAGAGACCCTCCCGAAGACGGAGTTTTCTTCAGGGTATTGTACAGAAACCTTGCCTTGTTACATCTTTGACTTTTGTTATTAGCATTTACTGTTTGGTTGCAAAATATACTTTTACGCTTGCTGAGAATGGTGAAAATTTAATAAGCGCCCAGCCTCGAATAAGCGCCCACTCTCAAGGTCCAAAAATTTAATAAGCGCCCAGGGCGGTTAATCGAATAAATACGGTATTACGGTTTAAAATGACACACCTTTTGTAGACTTCCAGGCTGATTAGAGATTCATCCAGCCTGCGAGTAAGCTCTCCATTTGGGGGAGTGATGAGAGAATCACGCGAGAGCCGCACTCGAAAGGAGACGCGAGTGCGAGGGAGGGGGCGGGACGGAGAAAGAAAGAGGGGAACGAAAGAAAGGAAAAAGAAAAGGCTAAATACTACTTACTGCATAAAGCGTCTTGCTAGGGAACAAACTGATTTTAGTATTCAGCTTACCTAAACTCCATCTTATCTTTCCGAAAGAGAGCTAGCTAGAGCAATTATTTTTACAGTGCAGGTCCTACTCAAGCTGAGAGATCATATTAATTTTTACAACGTCAATTTCAGCTTTCTGGGATTTGTACTGAAAGCGCCTGTAAAGTGCAGCCTTGTGCTCAGATGCTGCTTGTGTTTGTTGCTAAGTATTAACAGATTAATAATCGAAGTGGTCTTTCGCGAGCTTAAATTCCTGGTCCTTTTTAGCGTATATCTTATAAAGAGAAAATTCCACAAGGTCTTTTATAAAGCGCTAACACTACTTACAGCAATATAAAACTGTTTTGAAAGTTTCCAACGAAAAAGTTTTACAAACCTCTCAGGAACTTGTGAAGGCAAAAAGCAGAAAATAGCACAAGAATTGGGAATTTCACAACGTCAGTCTTTTCCTTGATTTAATCCTCGGGGTGTCCTTCAATTACTGATTGTGTACTGATTTTTACATTAGCTTTATAGCCAGGTGAAAGTTGTATTGGCTCAAATCAAGGGTAGGAATTGATGAACTTGGGCCTGGGTACCTGACGAACATCCGAGTTGTCAGGTCACTGAGCAACAGGTATTTTGGAGGCCCACTTCTCCGGGAGGAGACTCTCATATAAAAGCGAAGGGGCTGCTGAGAAGGGGTTGGAACACTAAGCACTACATAATAACCACCATACGGCGCACGGCCGCGCACCTATACCACACAATGAATCACCACAGAGTGCAGCTACCACACGGTGCATCTATCACATGGTGCACCTACCACACATTGCACGGATCCAGGTTGCTCAATTACCTCACAGTGCACCGACCCAAGTTCTTCACCTACCACAAGGTCCATCTATCACATGGTGCACCTACCACACAGTGCGCCGACCCAAGCACTTCATGCACCTACCACACGGTGCACCTACCGCGTGGTTGACCCAGGTTCCTCAATTACCACACAGTGTACCGACCCAAGCACTTCATGCACCTACCACACAGTGATACTTAGTACGATAGAATTTTTTCCTCTGCTTTTACTCTAATGGAATAAATAAATTCAAGTTTAAAGACTGGCGTGAATGATATCACATGCACAGGCTTTTGAAAGCAAGCGATGGCCAAAGAAGAATAATTAATGGCCTTTTAAACCCACGTCACCAATTTTGCAACCAATGGATAATCACCGTCATATTCTAAAGATTGTCGCTCTAATTGCAATCATTGATATACGCAATCGCTAATTAAAAACCTATAAAACAACGAGAGAAATGAAGGGGGAAATTAATGGCTCCTGCACATATATAACGCTGCCCTTATCTCTTATACATCCGGCAAAGGAATGAATATCTATTGACTAAGACGGAATCCATCAGGAGTAATTTTAATTTTGAGTGGACAAAAACTTTGTACCAGAATAATTCAAACAATATCGCATTCTTTTTTTACATTTTTCAAGGGCCTATTACCTGCAATAACACCAGAGACTATTTATCATGGCGAGCCCGAGCAAAGAAATGTCAAATTTCACAAGAATTGTGAAAACACAGGTAAAATTCTGAAAATTTCATCTGTAAGACTACTCTGGGTGCCAGAGGTTTTTTTTCTGTCGTTTGCGGCGAAAATTGAGCGGCGAAGCCTCGATCGTGACGAGCGGGAGAAAAACCCTTCTGGTCACCTCTGGTCACGGCAGTTACGAACCTCACTTCCATGAGTACAGATTTTGAACTCGGTCGCTGATTGGTGCTCGAATTTAGTGCCAGACCTTTCCGAGTGATAATGATCTAACAAGAACTCTGGAATGTTCCCCAGGAGCCCTAAAAACCGGTTTTTTTTGCCTCGAAGAAACTTCAAACAAAGAAAAAGGCGGACGATGGTAGCGAATTCGAGCGAGCCTTTCTTGGTGCAGTACAATTTGCGTTGGATGTGTGATGCGAAAAGATGTGTTTGCGGTGCTTCCAACTGATGCGGGAAGTCTTTGATCTTTTAAATCGTTCCCGAGAGTATGTGCATATTTACAGAATCGAGGGTTCAACTATTCTAAAGCGGCCGTCTTAGTTGTTGTTTGCCCGTTGACCACCTTGATTTATGCACACATGAAAGAGCTCAAAGATCATGCAACCTTGCAAACACAAAAATTATTGCCGCTCGATTCGCAAAGAAAACTCGGAAATTATTCATAGCCTTAAGGGAAAGTACGTTTTTTTATTTGGGGGGGGGGGGGGGGGAGGGGGGTTGGGCAGGGGGGTTTTTAAAATTTTTTGCAAAAAAAGTCGGAGCCCCC